ACTACTATAATGGGTGCTCGATTGGCTAACTATAATTGCAATATCGCGAACTAAACATACATCTGATATGATAAGCACATCACAACCTAAGCATACATCTAATATGATAAGCACATCACAACCTAAGCATACATCTAATATGATAAAACACATCACAAACTAAGCATACAACTAATATGATAGAACACATCACAAATTAAGCATACAACTAATATGATAGAACACATCACAAATTAAGCATACAACTAATATGATAGAACACATCACAAATGCGTATAAATAAGTATATTGTCTATAACTGCTGCTCAACTACTAATTCTAATATCTGCTCAACTGACTGTATATAATTGCTGCTCAACTGACTGCTTAACAAGTGAGAAGAACACTAGGTCTTCGCGCTCACGATAAGCAATTGTAGGACCTAATCTGTAAGTCCCTGCCCATGCTTGGGCAAAACTAACTCTTATGCACTGCTAAGGTTGGAGCTTAACTCACAACTGCACTAGAGTCCTTGATACTACTGGGGATTCGAAACACTTGGTTATGAAGAAACCTATCTCTAAATCAAATGTCCCTTAAAGAAGAATTATTCTAAGATCATCTGAAATTAAGCTTAACTCAAGGCTGCTCTAGGGTTCTGAATTCACTTAACTCAAAGCTGCACTATAATTCTTATCTGATCTTAACTAGCGTTTGATTCACCTAGCTATAAAGGATCTACTTGCTAGGTAATTGCCCCTATTCGGGCAGAATCTCATATACATACCTCAACCATGGTATTGCGATTATAGAAGATGTAATACCCAGTACAGGGTCCCCACCTGATATGCTGAAATGCAAGATCTGAACGGTTTGCAGCTGTCGGAGGCTCGACTCTCCACAAGCTACAAAATATATAAGCACAAAATATTCTAAGTACTTATCTTAAACTGAAAACTCGAATTATATTATCTGAGTTGACTAGGTTCGCTCACTCGACTATAAAATCATTTTTAGGGATTTACGAGCTGATTTTGAAAATTTATTGTCTTTGAGGCATTCTAGAATTTTCTGAAATATTTCTAAGTCTGGAAATATAAATTGAATTAATCTAATCTGACTGACATCTTAAGCATATTTGGGTCTTAAATCTATCTGAAATCTTAATCTGATTGGATCTGAAATTTATGTGAAAAATATTTGAAATATATCTCCGAAATTTCTATCTGAAATATATCTCGAACCGTCCGAACTGACCGAACCGGTTCAACTGAACTGGACCGACGACTCACTCGGAGCTGGTCGATCATTCGCTTGGCTATGTGCAGCTCAATTTGACCGTGGTCCGAGTTCGGTGTGGAAACTTGGGCTGACACGAACTCGACTCACACGGGTTAGCCGATGCAAGGGTTTGAAACGGGGCCACGGTCACTGACGCAGGGGCGTGCTTGGACCATGACTATCGGAACGACACGTAGACGATAGGCCAGATGGACTCGATGCACGGGCACGCACTCGGTGGTTTGACTTGGACTCGGTGCACAGGCACGCACTCGACAGTTTGGCTCCAACGGTTAGGCGAGGGTCAAGCACGTGTGCGGGACAACAGTACGCATTATGAAATAACGATACGACGTTTTAAAAAAATTATTTAGGCGGTACTAGGGTTCAGTCAATTAAACCCGGATCTAAAATTTACTCGGTTATCGAAACCGGATAAAACTAGGGTTTCTAATTCTTGAACATTCTAACTCATTTATAGCCGATACTTAAATCAAAAATGTTATGTGCTTTTTACCGATTTTATAATCAACAACTGCAGCTAAAGTCTCAACCGGACCAATATTCTAAAATATCTCATTTATAGGCTAAAGTCTCGATTTAATAGCTATATCAAACGACATCCAAATTTCACAAAATTTAAAATATAGCCTCCTCGATATATAGTAGTCCATGGTCAAAACATCGCAACCAATTCAACTTCTAACCCATTCAACTAACAATCCCTTCAACCGGGAAAACATTTCAAAAATCTCATTTGTCTATCAAACGAACTCTAAATATTCTCAAATTTGCACCTAAGCCTCAAGACATCGAAACGAATTTTATAAAATTTATTTCATCATTTTATCGCACTTATATCAAAGGCTCAAAAATCCACTTCTAGCTTGATAAACCCCATTAAATCAAAATCGCTCAAATCACCCAATTCATCAATTTTCTATCATCTCATTAAACACATCTAAGCTCATGGAGAAAGGTTCAAGCCATTTTACCTAAAATCAGGCTCGAATTGGAGATCGGAAAGTAGATCGAGCTAGAAAATGGGTCGATGAAACAAGACGGGCCCATTCAAGGGCTGTGGGCTGCGCGTGGAGGGTCGTTAGGCTCAGACCAGAGCTGGTCGTGCGTGAGGGCTCGTCGCGAGCTTGACCGCAGCTGGGTGCTGCGAATGGATTCGATGGTGGCTCGAACGAGCTGGGAAGACTGGTGGCGCGCGGGGTGGACGAAAACTCGTTGAAAAATCGGAAATCGAGCTGGACTAAGGTGGTGACGGGCTGTCGACA